TAAACTCATTTTAGCAGCCCTCATCATAGCGCAGCTACCGTATCGGGGGTTGCCGTACGAGTAACTAAAATAGCAGTCGGCTTCTCGGTGAGAAGCGCGTTACCAAATTTAGCAGCGCGATAGCAGCGCGGGAGAAAAGTTGCTATTCGTAGAAATGTCAAAATGCTCACTACCGGTACGGAATACGGCGAGTAAATTGATAACCGCGATAGCAGCGACCGGTGTGGAGAAGACTGACTAAACTAAAATGAGAGCACTGTGCGCTGTTAAAATAGTCGCGCAAATGACAACGACCGTTACGGTTGCTCTAACAAAACATACTTGAACATAATAGTCTCTTTCTTGCGCGAAAAAGAGATAACCGAGCATTTGAACGGGTTAACCTCCATACGATTCAGAATACACCAATCAGCAAAAGCATTCAGCTGACGTTGAAGGAAGCAACATTCTTCAATTGAGTGAATTCGGAGGTAGCGTTTAAGGTCATCTGCGTAAGATAATCGTGGTCCCTCAATTACCAGATTCACGTCGTGGAAGTAAATCAGGAAAATCAGCGGTCCCAGATGACTACCCTGAGGTATGCCGGATGTGGCAGCGAACGTACGGGACTGGCAACAGTAAGATAGCGATCGGTGAGGTACGACTGAAACCATTGCAAATGGTGGATACCAAGCCTGTCCAGTTTAGCGATTGATATGCGGTGATTCAATTTATCGAAGGCAGCAGATAAGTTAGCATAAATGACATCCGTCTGAGCACGATCCGACATACTGTTAGAGATGTTGGAAGTAAGGCACAGCAAGTTAGTGGCAGTGGAGCGACCAGCCATGAAACCATGCTGGTCGATACTAATATATGGCTTACAGTGAGCGAGTAACGGTTCCATAACAACGAGTTCGAACAATTTAGCAACAGCGCTAAGCGAAGTAATGCCACGGTAGTTGCCAACGTCCTGTTTGTTGCCTTTTTTATGTACTGGAAACATGTGCGCTAGCTTCCAACAGGATGGGAAAACTCCGACGTCCACAGACCGTGTAGGAATAAGAATTTGAGTAGGGTTCTCTCTGTTTATACTCTTTAGTATGACGCGATTGATATAGATTGCCCACAGCGACTCACTGCGGCTTCTTCCTTTTTCTATGGATGCTCATGTGGGCTGCAGCTAGCTGCTTGCAGGCAGCCTTTCGTTGTGTACTGGAGAACGCTACCAATCACCACGCGATGATTGAATCGGTCTCACCGTTTAGTGAGACCGAATGGAATTCAACTTTCAAAGCTGTGTTAGGTAAATCGCTTTTCATAGGCAATCGGTGATAATTTTAACTATCATAGCAACAGTTGCAACAGTTGTGCATTCGTGCAATTCTCAATAGTGAAATTTTGAAAAATGATAAAGTTTTAAATTGAACAGATGCGTAGAAATATATATGATCGATTGGCGATAACATTATTGAAATTGGCCCAGGGGCAGCTGAGTTAGTAACGTTCAAAATCTTTCATAATTTTGTTACATGTTATATAAATGCCCGGATTTCGTATGGAGTCACCCCACTGTGCTCTGGTATTAATTTTTAATATTTATGAATTCAGATTGCCGTTTCTGAAGATAGCACATAGATGGGCACATTTTCGTTAAATCGTTCATCAACGACGTTAATTTTATGCTAACCAATTAACGTCCCGTTAAATATGAGAACCGTTAATGAATTTATTAACGATTGTTAGATTGTGCTACGTTGAATCATCCGTTGATTCTATTTTTATGGATTTGTATACTAATTAGGATTAAATCTGCTATGCACGATTTTCTGATTAATGGGCGTCGAAAGACAATAACTTCAATGAACAAAGTTATCACCTTCCTGCTTGAAAAAAAAACCAACAGGAACTTTTTCTGATATGTGAAAGTTGCCACTGAATTCTCACTAAAATTTTCAGTGTTTGTTTTGCCTTGAAACATTCAGTTGCGCGAAACTTAGATCGTAGTGTGCTATGCTCGAAGAGAGGCATGGACAAATTTCAGCCGTCAATTTTTTGGCCTGTTTTTTCGTGTTTTGTGAAGTTTTAATTAGCGTTCGTTCAGCCAGGCTTCAGCCGCTCGAGACATCTTCAATTGCGACATCATCATCACCATCATCATCAAGACCGTGGATTCAAACCCATTGGTTCGGTCGACCTCTCAGGAGCCAGCTCCAACAGACGGCCTTATTGGTTGTTCTTTACGGCTATTTGTGATTCTTACGAGTGAGTCAGATTGTTGACCATTTCTTCTGGTATCGTCTGACCGATCAAGTGATTGGCCACACACAATTTTTGGTTTGCTTGTATTCATCACTTGACGTAATCACCTACACTAAGAATAAGCAAACCTTTTATCATGCTCAGTCAATCAATGCTTGATTATGGAGATCACAATCGAATCATGGATCGATTTTGTGAGTCCGTTCCTATTTATTTTTTAATTATTTTCCTCATATGGTTATTCTTATAATAATCGTCGGAGTCCTAATAATGCGATCTGTTGTGTGATATTGGGAGATGTCTCTATTGGAAAGACATTCTGTATTTAAGAGATTTCCACGTAAGAATCTGCACTCTTCCGTGTTTGGCCCTTCATGCAGCTGTGAATTGACAAAACCACAGATTGATCTATTGAGAGAATCCGCTTGTCACGACAAGTCTTCTGCTCAGTAAGCAAAAACGTTTGCCACTAGGCAAACGAGCTCCGTTTTAGTAATATTTGAGTTTTAGAAAAGACGTGTTGATTGAAAAAACACATCAAATCCTTCTCAAGAGCAGTTGTTTTCGTCGTCGGTAAGGTCACCAACAAGTTGAACGGTAGCTGGATAGTAATTGTTTTGTGAAATAAGGAGCTTGGTGACCTAGTGGCGACCAATTTTGCTTACTGAGCAGAAGACCGTGGATTCGAACCCATGCTCCTTCGCGATATTGAATCGTTTTTCGGACATCAATTAAGCATACCGTTTCCCAAAACGAATTATGCTGCAATCCCTACCCTTTTATCCAAAATCCCAGTGATTTCTCGTGGAAGTGTAGAGGTGCTCTCGGCTTTCATTAAAGTGAGTTTTACGTCAACATATTCCTACCCATTCCTTTCTTGACCATCATTCGGACGTGCCCGGTGCTGGTATTGCCTACTTTTAGTATTTACACATTGAGGATGATTGTTAGTCCCAAGCAACTTCTATTGGTTCATGGTTACTGCATGAACTCAACAGCTTTGTTTTGGAAAAGTTTGGAAAAACAGCAAAACAGATTGTCCCATTACATAAGAAGCAATGGTGCGATGCAAACTTAAAACGCGTTTTTCTCGGCTGGCTGATTTGTGCTATGGAACTGACTTGCCATGAGCGGCAGTATTATTCTACAAATATTTTAGAATATATTGAAAGTTCCTTGAAATTTAACGAAGATCATGCAGCTTTTTTAAAGTAAGATCTCTGACAAGCTGCAACGAAGCTGCCTTAACTAAAGCGAGGATCCCTGAAGTTCTTAGAAGTTTATTGAACTATTTTTAGATCTTCTTCAAAGTTCCCTGAACTTTTTCAAAATTCCTTACACTTATATGAAGTTTTAAGAAGCTCATCAAAATGCGTCCGATTTCAATAAATGATGGAAGGATTCAAAGCGAGAAATTGACAAATTTCTTAAAACTAATCAGCACTGGCTTGATGCTTCAGTTAGTTTCCACAATTTCGGCTTTTCTCCTTTAAAAAAAACCTACCGGTAGAACAGTGAAAAGTTTCGAGGAATGCTCTGAAAGCGCTAAGCAGCTCAAAACCCAGGAGCTGAGATCCACCCACTCTTCACAAGAATTTACATTTGCAGCTCAGATGAGCTTGCGCGCCGAAGAATCCACACGGGCTGCAAGAATAATATCTCCGAAACTAAAGGTTTTGGAAGTTTCATGTTTTCTGCAATTTTGCTTCATTTTAATAGATAAACAACTTTGTTGAAAACACTATACGTCTAGGAGGCTGAGACGTCTAGTGTTGCGAACTAATTAAGTTGTTCAAAAGAAGCATTTAACTAATACAAGCAACTACACTCAATACAGTAATCTGATTAGATGCTTCATTCAAAAGTTATTATTTTTTTCTGAGAAATTCACTGATCTGCCCCAGTGTGCTGCGTCAGGACAGAATTGAAATCAAGATGTAGTGATAAATTTTTAATAAAATAATATTATTGATTCCAAATCCGCCATGGCAAGGTAAATTGTCTAAAACTCATTCTAGGTCGAAACACTTCACTATATTGTTCAAATTCGTTCATTAAAGTGAGGTGAAGTGCGACTTGTGCTTAGCAGAGTGCAAATCAGGTGCTCAGTAGGACGGAAATTAGATCAAATGCGTTATTTTCTAACATTATGAAATCAAAATGTACTCACATAAAAACCAAAAATCGCATTGGTTTAGCTACTAATGGAATTAAATTGAATGTTTTTTTTATTTATTTCCTATACTTTAATGTTTATCATTAACAAAAGTGACTTATGTTATAAAAAAAAGTTGAGATCTAATGTTTGTTTTAGAACTGCTTTCAATTACACACTTAGAAATAATTAATTTTACATGTGACGGAATCTATGTTTGACATAAAGGATCAGACGTAAACTAATATGACATGTAAAATTAAGTGCTCCGAGACTGAAATGTTCGTTACTCGTCGAAAAGTACGTTTGATTGAATTGAATTGCGCGTCTGTTATGACTCAATTTTATGTCAAAACTGACGCTCGTATATGTCAGTCTCAGAGCACCTAAATTTACATTATTTTTTCTAAGTGTGTATATTTTAATCATTTTATCAATTTGATTTTACGTTACGTTATGACGGTAAACATTTACATTTTTATTTTAATTCATCCATCTCTCCCATCACACCACGCACGCATTAGCTTCTAAAACCACCAACCCACCTTGACTAAGTGTTTCTTATGTGTGTTTTTCTCTTATTTTCTCCTTTCTCCCCTAACAGACAGTGACTGTGTGTATGTGAAAGAGAGTGGGAGCAAATTTCCATTGTATCGCTAGATAAAAAGAAGAAAATACATATGAAAGAACACTGAAACACTTAATATCACACTCGAACGTGTCCCCCACCTCGTAAATCTAAAATGCGCGCACAAATTCATCAAAAAGAAAGCAAATACAGTGATAGTGCATGTCCGACGGCGTTAGGCCCCACACTCTACCGAAGAATCCGCAAACAAACAACTTTAACAAGATAAGAAAGAAATTAAGGTGGACATTGTGGAAAACGGGCGAAAGAATAAAAATTAATGACACGATAAAGAGCTAATAATTACAATTAAACATACGTGCAATTAATTACTCGGCCCAGTAGGTGAGGGTGAAAAAACGCCGGGAAAAAGAGGAAGCTAATTAAAAAAGTTCACGAGCGATGAAATTAATTCGCACTTAAAGAGCTTTCCGAGTATCGAGCTGAAAGTGATCCCATGCCGGGCGAAAGCAGGATGTGTCCAATTGTAGCGTAAAAATGGCCCACGTAAATGAATAGTACAATTTAGCGGCAATTAACACAGTATCCACGGCGTGCGGCATTGTATCGAGTAACCTATTTATTTGTGCTGCAGCAGCGGAGACGAACACTTGTTACAACTGTCACGACGTGTAAATTGTGCTTTTTTTAAGGTCCATCCAGCGGATACGAGTATGATAAGCACTTCCCCGCCGCCGTACGTGCAAACCGAAAGTAATTAATAACGATGTAAATTTTCACGCGATTAATAAATTGACGCGCGGGTGCCGACGGGCGAAGTTTCTGCACGACACACACGAGATCTCTGCTCTGCGCAAACGCGCGATGACAGATCACATCTGGTAAACTGCTCGCCAGGTCGTTGTCAACTGTTGTTAGTTGTTTCGCAGTTCTTCATCAACCGTCGCGGACGTCCGTCGCTGTGTGAGAAATTCACAGTGCGATCATAAATCTCGAATGATATATCATCAAACGAGCGTCGTCGGGAGGAGAGGGTGAGCAACATTTTTCAGGAAAGGTTCGAAGAAATCGCAATACTGAGAGTGAGTAATTGCGGGACATAAAATTTGGATGTTTTCACAGTTTGGGATGAAGAGCTAATCGATCTCGGGACGAAGCAGTGATTGAGCCAGCTGAGTTGCCAAACTCCAGCTGGACTGGGGACCGGAGAATAGTGAAACAAAATAAAACGAGTGACGTGATTGTGAATCCGATAGTGCGTTCGAACGAGAAATCAGAAACCTGCTCAACGCCGGCCGTCTGTCTGTCCAGGGCCTACGACAAGGAAGGTGGCCTGTTGCGTGTGCATAGTGTGCTAGTGCGTATGACGAAGAGTTCCCGTCTCTCTTAATGTGAAAAATCATATGAAATGGTGACATTAATGCCTTGTAGTTATATATCTGCCCCCCGGATCTCCATCATTGATAAAATGATAGAGATAGAACCAAAGGTACACAAATGCTTGATTTTGTATTATTGTTTTTCTTCTTCTTCTTCTCCATAAGACTCCGCTTGCTTGAAGATGCGATCATTATTGATCTGAATGAACCACCAGTCAGCAACCAGTCACCACCACCACCACCAGCAGTGGCTTCACGAAAGGTGTCCCTTTAATCGTGTTTTTGTTTCATTTCTTTTTCATCTGTTTTTCTACCAAATGTGTGACTTGTACTAAAATGCACCTAAACAATAAATTTGTTTAGTTTTATGCGTGTCTTTAAGAGATACAAATTATTTAACAGTTGTTTTTTCTCGCTTCTTTATGCAATGCAGCGATAGGGATGCTAATAATATTTAAAATTGAGTAGAAAATGGTTGGTTCGCTGACAAAAGATTTTTAGTAGAACATTCGGATTTTTTAAACTAGTATGGTGGTCTTAGTGGAATACCTTTATAAATAGAGAGAAAGAGAAGGATTAGTAATTTCCATATAATTCCACTGCCTTATGTGCTTATCCTTGACAGCTACGCGTATTTCGTCTACAATGAGTGGACTTCTTGAGCGTCTTGTACTAATACTCGACTCTTTAGGTCGAGTATTAGTACAAGGCACTGATGAAGTCTGCAAATTGTAGACGAAATACGTCTATCTGTCAAGAAAAAGCAAATAAGGTAGTTAAATTAAAAGGAAATTACAAACACTCTTGGGTCATTCGTGACTTGTCTTGGGATGATATTTGAAATCGAGACTCTGGCGTTAGAGGTATGGATGTTAATCACTTAAATATTAGCCGGGGCCGTCCTCAAATTCAGTTATAATAAATGGTTCCAAACAATATTTCATATCTTTTATCTTCATATTGACTAAAATTGACAATGCCAATAAGCTTGAATTAAAAATATCAAGAAATGATTGAAAAGGCACAAATCACCTTTTTCAAATTTCCAGAGTTGGTTGAAAATGCTATCTAGCATGAAGTTTTAGTGTGATTATTTATTAGCTAGAGAAAGGTCTGAAGAGGGATGGTAGATAGTTCCGCTAGAGTACGGCTGTATGAAAATTGAATAGAAGTTGAAAATGAGTGAAGGGCCATTGATACAACAGCACTAGTCAAACGCACACTTCCTTACCTCACTCATAAATTGATAGATGAGGAGAATGGAAGTATTTCTTCAAATCTACAGGCAAAAAGTGCGCGTTTGACTTGCTCATATACTTTCTGAGGCTATGGAATAGTTTATCACTAAACACTTTGAATGTAACAACTCCAGGCGGGAGTAACCGCCAACAATGCTGATGATGGTACAGCACGCAACAACCACCTTACTGCACTTCTCCCTGAGATGACTACGTTGGTCATGACGAGAGGAGCAACACAATAGTTGGGTAAACAAGAATTGCATTATAACACACCATCGCCTTGACATTATTATTCATAAAGAAAAACTCTTAAAAAATATACCATTCATAAAGTAAAACATCAAAAAAATATACAAAAAGTGAATTCATTTCATTCTTCTGCGATATGTGCTGTTAAAAGTTAAATTTGTAGTCGACGAATTTAACAACTGTGGCATGTTTTGCACACAATACAATTTTGTTAGAGCATCAGTTTGTCAATATATGATTTTATGATCAGAAATTATTTGTGAATCCTCCAGATGAAAACAAGCACATTCCGTTACTCAGAAAAAGTATCTGACAAAAAGTAACACTAGTTTACTGTATGAATTATTTTAACGCCAAATTAAAGGTAAGAAAATTTTCTTTCGATCAACCTAACATCAACTGTCAGTGAAATTAGTGGTATTGTTGTTAATGAATAGTTTGTTTATTATATTTTTATATTTTGCATTTTTCCAAGAAAAATTTAATTTCTGATAAGTTTTTAAGCAGTGTAAATAAAATGTTTGTAGTTGTTGTATAACTAATCTCACTGTAAAATTTTGTTCCAACAATCGAAAGCAAATATTATCACCTTTAATTTGGCGTTATAATAATTAATATAACTTTATTACAACAGACATTTTTTTAAGTGAAATTTAATTTTTTAGCTATGTTATTACATATTAGCTTTTACATAGGAAATGACCATCAGCGTACAAAGTTCAAATATTCTGTAAACTACCCAACCAACACATAAAACATCTCAATTATTATATTTGTTTATTTTAGTTGCCCAGAAATCCCTTAAATGGTACAAGAAATACATCTTGATACGAAACTGTTTCAAGTTTGTTACTTGATTTACTTTAGGTCTAAATAATGAAACTCAACTGTTTCAATGTACTGCTTGGATGAACCTTCAAATCATGCATCAAATAGGAGGACCAAATATGTTACACTCAGATTGGTATGATGTTCTATCCTACGTGATATTGTACGAAACACTTGAGCAACAAATCTAACTTGTGTTATGTTTGTTGAATGAGAGTTCCATAAAACAATATGGTTCTTCAAACTTTGGTGCAACAGTGTGTGAATCACATGTTTTTGTACCTTGCTTTAGGAATATAAAAGTATTAAAACTTCGTTTTGCAACCAACTGGATCAAGTTGTTACTGTAAAGGTTTATTGTAACCTTCTAGTAACTTTCATGCTGAAATATGTCGGTCATTGTGACGTATAAAACACTTAAGAACTACGTTGGCAAATCGTTGGAGAAATCGATGGTGAGGAAGACCACGATGAGAGCGATAGGATTAGTAACGGCGGAGGACGATGGTGATTAACGACGATGCCAACAGCGGTTGGCGTGGCCGTAGCCGTTCCAAAGGGCCAGAGAGAATGGTGGAAGCCTGAGCTAACATTGGATCGATTGTTGCTGGAGCTGGGGGCACCAAATATGTTGTCAGTTTTTTATGCCGATGTCGAGCTGATGGCCGTTGAGGATGTGTTAGAGATGGAGCTCGTTTTTGCCGGACCTGCTGGTGAACTGGTAACGGCACCAAATAGCGGGCAGATTTCCAGAACTAGTTGTTCATAATGCCGAAACCTGATGGCTGCTGAAGGAGGATCTGCTCCTATTTCGCTACCACTCGATGTCGCATTACAACTGACAAGTGACGTTTAAAGCACGCAGCACATACTCAACTAATTCTATGATTGTTAAAACTACGTATTTGCTACTTGTTTTAAACATAACTGGAACATGGATACCATCGATAATACGCAATGGTGCAGATATGTTGAAACACCGTTGCGATGTTGTTGCAACAGAGTAATAATCATTCATATTAATTTCCACTTATGTGCAACGTAAACAATACTTGTTGGAAACATTTCATGAAGTCTTTAAAAATATCTACCCTATTGTAACGTACTATTTAACATTTTTGCCAACAGTTCAGTGACTTGGATTATATCTGGATGAAACGTCCGGCCGAATTTATGTTGCTATATTGAGAAGTGTTCACAAATATTCCAAAAATTTAAAAACTATACCGTTTCACAGTTTTGCACTTGATAATTGTTATGCCAAGGCATTTTCATTTGTTATTGGTGCAGGACATTAAAGAACTCAATAAGTTCGTCTCTATTTTTTATGGTGTAATGTTAGGTGAAGGTTTTGATTTGTTCTTTATCAGAATATCGATAGAAGGCTTTGCATTATAATCACAAGCTATTTTTGAAGATGAGTGAGTGATGACTTGATGATGATAGAAAGAAGTCTAACGGTTGTGAACTCGGTTGTGAAACCGAAATCGCTTTAATTCTCGATTCTTACAATGGGCCAAACTTCCATGGTAATTTGTGCGATTGAACCTACGGAATAAGGGCAACAAGGTTTCGAATTTACCGCAAAAAAAGGATCTAGATTTCACCAGTCCAGTTCCTACCAGTGCCACCATTAGGATTAACACTTCTATAGCTGATGTCACTCCGCCTGATCAAAAATAACATATTTAGTCTACAATGATCGATCAGCCAGAGTGCTATTAACTCGTAGTTTGAATCCTTAAGGTTAGAAGTTAAAAATCGAAACGTCCAAATATCGATCCCATACACTAATTATTGGATAGTGTGTGCCCTTGCAATATTATGATCGACTAAAGTGTAAAAAGCCAGCATTTTTGTACTTACCTGAAATTGTGCCACGGTTTTGTTGTGAATCCAACTTTTTTCATCATGAGTTTTACAACATATTTTCACATGTTAATTTTCTAAATAATCTATGGAAACCATCATTCCTTTGGATTTTTATATCTTTAATCAAGTTCGGGTTATCTACCAATGTAACGGAATAGGGGAAGAGTGGGAGTCTCAACATTCCTTACAATTTCTTACAACTGAGAGAGGGGGTTGACATTTTTCATACATAACATTAAGAGGAAGGAAAAATGATTTGACCTTAAGGAATTTGATGCCAAAACACCTCCGAAATACTTTAAATTAACCAATTCATGCAAAAATTAGCCAACTTTTCTAACGATATTTTGAAAATTTTAAAATCTTAGCCAGATTGTTGGCGGAAGAGTTATTAACTGAATACTTTTCAGAAACTTGCATGGGAGGGAGGGAGATTTAGTTATCTCTCAAAATCCCTTAAATAATTTGTGGATGGCCTCTTTTTAGAAAAACCAAAACCCGTTGAAAACAAATTGGTGCGGTAAACTTTTAATTTTCCACCCCCCTTTCAAAAAATTACACTATATAAGTTCATAATATTTTCTGAATCAAAAGAATTTTATTTAATCCTGCAATGTTCATCAATACTTGCAGAAGTTTGCAGTTTTTTTGCAAAAATTAGATTAAAAAATCTGCTAAAAAATGACGAAATTATGAAAGTTTTAGCAGTTTTCAGTAACAGGTGATGGGGATTTGAGAGTTAAAGTCATTGTTTGCGTTGAATGTATAGGCTTTTTTACATTATTTTATTATTTATTAAATTTATTTATTTGATTGTCGCTTTATTGATTGATAGATTTTTTGAAATAAAGAAATAAAATAAATTTTATCAATTCATTTATAAATTATATTTAGGCTTATAATAGGTGCATAAATATAAC